AATCAATATTGCATCATTACAATTCAATTAACAACAATAACTTTAGCAGATTATTTAAAATACCTCAATTCATGTCGCTTCTAGAAGGTCTGATGCATTGCTGATAATGAAATAGGACTAGGCATAACGTTACTAGTGTAGTCTCCCCCTGCTGGATGCATCAGGAACAACAGGGGCGTAAAACTGTCAGGGGCGTAAAACTGCCGGCTCCAGGTCTGCAGCCTCCCCCTACTCGTTTTGAATGAGACGACCCGGTTACTGTGAACGGGGAGCGCTTTATGCGCGAGCAGCACCGGGGACAGTGTGTCTGTGAGTGAGTGCTCGTGAGCCGGCACGTGATTTACACGCATAAAAATACGCACTACTTTTTTTCTTCGTCATTTTCTTTGCTTTATTGGCGGTAGTCCAGTGTTCCCCTTTGTGTTTGGCGGTTTCGCCGGGTTCCACAAGGAAGTTAGAGAAAATAGAGGAGTCAAAGGTTATATGACGCCATAGACGGGCAAAGAAACGGAAATAAAGAAACGTCCCGTGTGTTCGAATTAAACTATACATTTCTCCGTATTTGAAAGTTGGTGGAAACTGTCGGGATAATTTTTTTTTTCCTTTTTCCTTTTAATCATGTAAATTCCCGACCTCAATTTCTTCCGCACCTCGTCTTCCATCTTCACTTTTATTTCTCCGTTGTTGTCGTTGTCGAGGCTGGCGGCGGGAGCTGCTTGGCGCGCCGCTTTCGTGACATGTCACGTGACACCAAAGGTTTGGGAACCTCACGCAAGTTACGTTGCTACGGCATTCATATTGTAACCTTATCAAATAACCTTATAAAATATGAAAATAGATATTCCCAAATATTTAATATAGGCTGGAAATTGCAAGCAACATTAATGAAAATAATGCAAAAAAATTAATGACTCGCCCCAACCCGCCCCGCAAATAAAGTGACAATTTCTTTACCCGCCCCATCCCGACCCGCGGGTTACGAGTCGACGTTTTGGGACGTCTTTTGACCATACGTCAATATTCGCCTTTTTAGGGCCCCTTAAACGTCGGTAGATGAGGTTATGGGATCCTAACTCTACCCCATACCTAAACCTAACCCTAAACCTAACCCGTCACCTAACTGACGTTAAAGGTAAAGCGTCAGTTGTATGACGGCCCGGGATCGCCATCTACCGACGTTTAAGGGGGCCCTAAAAAGGCGGATATTGACGTATGGTCAAAATACGTCCCAAAACGTCAGTTATATGACTTTTTGGGATGAGACTGTGTTACGCAGTCTGGACGGTCCGCCATTAGAATACCACTGATGTAGATAATCTTTGAAAGATTGGTTATGTGCATTTTTTTTTTTTCTTACAGCACTTTTTATCCTTAGGCCACAACTTGACAATGGCACAAAGTTTGAATGTGGTCCTACTGGGTAGAACCAGAGCTGGTAAAAGTGCAGCCGGAAACACAATCCTGGGACGAGAAGCTTTCAAATCAAAGAAAATCTCTAAATCATTCACTCGAGATGTTGCTGTTGAATCTGGAGCTGTTGATCACTTTCCAGTCACTGTTTATGACACACCAGGATTTTTTAATACAGAGCTGAGTGATGAAGAGATTCAGCAGATGATAAATGAAAAGGTTCTTCAGAGATGTGAATCAGGTCTCTGTGTGTTTCTGCTGGTCATCAAAGCTGACAGATTCAGTGAAGAAGAGAGAAAAACTGTGGAGAAGATTGAGGAGCTGTTAGGAGAAGAGCGCTTGAAGAAAACCTGGATTCTCTTTACTGGAGGAGACGAACTGGAGGAGGAAAACACAACTATAAAAGAGTTCATCGATGACACTGAAGCACTGAAGAAACTCGTTCAGAAATATGATCAGAGACATCATGTGTTCAACAACAAGAGGAGAAACACTGAACAGTTTCAAATGTTGCTTATGAAAATACTTAAGCCATACATTGACATACCGGGTGAGTATTTTACACCAGTCTTTACTAAATATACTGGACACATTTTAATCAATATTATTTGAGTGAAAAATGGTATTCATTTTTTGTTTTCTTTATCATGTAATGAAGAAGGTGCAGGGAACCTGAAGCCGAATCCACTGACGAGAAAAATACCAGACAACATTGAACCAGACGCTCCGGTCTCCAGTCCCTCATCCAGACGGATTGTTCTTCTGGGTAAAAGTGGAGTTGGGAAGAGTGCAGCTGGAAACACAATACTGGGACAGAGAGAGTTTATATCTGTGATGAGAATGAATTCAGTAACCAGTGAATCCTCAGCTGCTCACGCCACTGTTTCAGGCAGATCTGTGACTGTAGTTGATACTCCTGGATTATTTGACACAGAGATGAAAACTGAAGAGTTAGTGACAGAGATAGCGAGAAGTGTTTATATATCCAGTCCTGGACCGCACGCTTTTATCATCGTGTTTCCTGTGAATATGAGATTCACTGATCAGGAGCAGCAGATTCCTCAGCAGATTGAGATGTTGTTTGGAGAAGAAGTGTTAAAATACTCCATCATTCTCTTCACTCATGGAGATCTGCTAGAAGGAAAGTCTGTAGAGGAACTCATTCAGGAGAGTAGTAGATTAAGAGATCTAGTTGGTCAGTGTGGAGGCAGATTTCACGTCTTCAACAATAGAGATGTGAATAACAGAGATCAGGTGAATGATCTACTGAAGAAGATTGACACAATGATAGAGCAGAATGGAGGAGGACACTACAGTAATCAGATGTATGAAGATGCTCAGAGATTCAGACGAGAGGAAGAAGAGCAGAGACTGAGAGAGGAAGAGGAGAGAAAACAACAAGAGGAGAAACAAAGACAAGATGAAGAAAAGAGGAGACAAGATGATTTTGAGAGAAAGATAAAGGAGACAGTGGGGAGATTCAGAGTAGAGATGGAAGCTCAACTGAAGACTGAACAAGAGGGACTTGTAGTAAGGAGACAGAGAGAAGATGAGGAGAGAAAACAACAAGAGAAACAAAGACGTGATAAGACTGAGGGATTGATACAGAAGAAAGAGGATGGAATTAGAGCAAGCTCAGAAAATGGATTTGATAAATTTCTATCCAATTACTGGTGCTGTATTTTAACTGGTGCAGCTATAGGGGGACTGGTAGTTGCTGGAGTAGGTGCTGTAGTAGTTGCTGGAGTAGGTGCTGTAGTAGGTCCTGGAGTAGGTGCTGTAGTAGGTGCTGTAGTAGGTGGCAGAGTTTGTTACTTTTACAAAGCGAAGAGAAAACTAAGACAAGATGCGACTGAGAGAATGATAAAGGAGAATGGAGACCGCATCAGAGCAGAGAACGAAGATCAACTGAAGTCTGAACAAGAAAGAATAGTAGTAATGAGACAGAGGGAGGACGAGGAAAGAAAACAACAAGAGAAGCAAAGACGAGATAAGATTGAGAGACTGATAAAGGAGACAGAGGAGAGAATGAGAGCAAAGTGTCTTACATTTAAATAGCAATGTATAGAATAATGTAAAAAATAATCATATGTATACAAAATCTAGAATGATTTGTAAAGAAGGCAACCAAATGAGACTTCCGTGTGACCAATCATGATAAACTGATATGATACAGTCAATCCGTCTTTCATTTTTGCAGTTTCTTTTATTTCCTGAAAATAATCTTTGATATAATTGTGTGATATGTGTGATATGAACAACTAAAATTGATTCATGTAAGTATTAGAAATGACTCCTGCAGCAATCAAAGTGAAATAAACAACAAAATTGTATTGCCTGTGTTAGATTTTGGTGATGCCGACCTGTGGTTTCAGTGGCTCGCCAATGTATTGAATTTCTCCAATACATAAAATAAGTAAGCTTGACCAGTTCTTGTGGGGAGAAGAATTTATTGAAGGTTTGTAGTGTAGAAGTTCTTCAGCAGCGATGTTATCATGTCACCCTTCAACAATCTTAACCCAATGTTCTGTCTGTGAGACAGAACTTTATAAAGAAGATTATGGGCTACAAACAATAGAAACCTATTAGGACCTCCCATAGGAGATGCTAATCCACTCTGAACAATGCTGAGTCTTTGTCATTCACACCAATCAGTTTCTGTGGGCCATACATCTGAATGGGCCATTCATCTGTATGGGCCATTTGACACACACCTTTGCAGACACCGACAGAGTGGATTAATTATGATACACGTCACAATGTAAATGAAACTGATAACTGAAAATACAAAATCTATCAATCCTCCCTTTGATCATATTTGATCACAAAACAAACTTCATTATATACAGCATGCTGCATACAGGCTCCACTTAAAATGACAGAATAAGAGTTCATAGTGAAACTTTGCATCCTCTTGAATTCTTGAGTCCTCTGGTGGCTTTTATTTTGGAGTTGTGTTCTGTTGGAAGTGGCGGATAGGGTTGTGTTCTGTGAATGTTCAGAAGTTTTTATCTAGGTGACCAGTGCAGTCTAAACGTCGGATGCAATTGCTCATCCTCTGGAATGCTGGAACACCTGCAATCACACAAAAGAGAAACGGGGAACGTATCTTTGCCAAGGAAAATATTTTAAAGACATAAATCATAATTGCCTGACAAACTGTCCCTATTTAATATTGGCAGGACACTACTGTGTTTATCAGTGGCTGTATGTTTATGTCTTCGTCCTCCTAAAAACCCTAGTCCCGCCATATTTGGACTCTGATAAACACTACTGCCGTCTATCCCTCATCTCTAGGCAGATGTTTCAAATCCCATTGGCTCACATCAGTCCACTCATCTTTTCTCTGCACCTTAACTGCTTCATCAGTTACCATGAGATCCTGTAGGCTATCCCTCTTGGATTCTAATGATGAATCTAAATGGATTCTTGGCATTGTGTTCTACCAGGCTGAGTCTTTCATCAGTTTGGGCAAGGCTGTCAGATGTTAGATTTTCTTTGGACAGGGGCCGGCCAATGACATGTTCAAAAGGGCATAGTCCAATTTCCTTGTGGTCATCCTTACTGCATTGCTTGTCATTATGCAGTTTTGTTTTAGCTTCCATCACTGATGGCATTTGTTTTCTGGGTGCTTCATCTGGAATAAGTTTACATGGCAAAACTTGAAGTTGAAGTTGTCTTAATGCCGCTGTATGTGCACCTCTCTCCTTTACGGCTTGTATAGCAGCACCTTCTACTTGGACATCATCTTTGGCTTCAGTTGTTGAGACTTCTGTGTATGCTTTTACCTTTGGGGTGGTGTCTTCATTTGTCATTTTTGCATACACATGGAGTCCATCAGTTGTCGGATGAGATGTCACAAGTTGGTGCTGCAGAGAGAGGCTCTTCAGTTTCCCTGCGGCTCAACAGCGTTTAGCAGAGTCTGTTTTTGTTTATCTGTCAGCTGCTGAAACCTCCTCAACAGGTTGTCCTCATCATCACTTTGACGTTTTAAACGCAGCTTACAATCACGGACCCAGTGTCCTTCTTCGTTGCAGTACCTGCATCTTCCTTGAGTTTTTGACTGTCTATTATCTTCATTTTCTTTATGCTCATTCCACATTGTCTTGCTGTGGTATGACATATTCTTCGATCGCAATGCTCTGAGTTTGACTTCCTGTGTTCTTTCAATCTTTGCTGACCACTCAACAATCTTTTGAAAAGATGTTCCAATGCTGTCCCAGTCGTCATATCGGATTTTGAGTGCTTTTGAAACTTCACGTTTCAGTCCATTTACAAAAGCAGTTTTCAGAGGCATGCTAGTGTCCTTGTCCAGATCCTCACTGTCATTTACACCGGAGTGTTCCAACCAGGTTTGTCTGAAGCGTTCTTCGAACTCCGCAACAATTTCTCCAGTCTTCTGCATACATGAGGTAATTCTAGCCCAATTAACCTCTGCAGGTTTCAGTTCAAACAAGAATGTTCGTACAGCTTCCCATCCAGCCTCAGTGTTTTCTTGAGACTCGCCTACCCTGTTTTCAACACTTTCAGTTATCCTCTTTTGTTCCTTGTCCCTCAAGTTCACATTAACAATCATCACACCATCTACTGGATGTAAATTGTAGATCTTCTGTAAACGTTGAAGAAATTGCCATACTTTTCGTGGTTGTTTGTACACATCTGGTAACTCCTTAGACCACTTGTCTACTTGCTCTGGTAAAGCTGGCTGGTATGTCTTACAGGGAACATATTTCTTAATTATTTTTGATACGATGCGGGTTCTTCTTTCGCCTTCCTCCTCATACTCCTCCTCATTGTCAACTTCAATTTCAGTCCTTCTGTTCTTGACAATTACCGGAGCGAGTCTAACCTTTTTGTTTTTCTTGGTGACATTTGCATGTGTCTCAGGTTCAACATCACTGTCATCAGGGCTCTCAGTCGAGCTGCTGTCACTTTCTCCATGCAGATACTGACGTTGTTGAAGCTTCTTGAGGTCTTTAAATGGATAGAGTGACTCTTTCTCTATCTTGCTGCTAGATTTTATGGGATTTGGTTTTGCAGAAAGCAACTTTAAAACACAAATCATTTTACATTCTTTAACCGTTACACATTCTACTAATTTTTTAATTACACATATATAATTAAGACTTTAATGGGTTAATTCACCCAGAAAAATTTATTCTGTCATTAATTACTCACCCTCATGTCATTCCAAACCCACAAGCCCTTCGTTCATCTTCGGAACACAAATTAAGTTGTTTAAAAGTATCTTAATTTGTTTTCTGAAGATGAATGAAGGTTTTACAGCTTTGGAACGACATGAGGGTGAGTAATTAATGACAGAAGAAATTCTTTGGGTGAACTATCCCTTAACATTTTACTAAAGTTTTCAACCTTTCAGTTGGTTGTATATTGTACTAGTACTAGTAATTTGTATAGTGTACAAAAAAAAAAGTCTGAGCAAGTGTTCTATACGTCTTGCAATAGTGGTCAATATGAAAAGATTTAACCAGTTGGTGTTTAAATCATATTTTCCTGCCAGGAAACAGATCCAGCAGGTGAAAGAAAATATGCCTTTAAATTGTCTCTCTGATTTTTGGCGGCGGTTGTGGCATTCCGTGCACTGCTTGCTGCCACAGAGGGGAGTTCTCCATCCCTTCTCCAAGCTCCAGGAACAATGTTGTGATTGTCATCTTCAACATCTGCAAAGGCTGAAGGCAGGTACACATCTGACGCCTTCTTCCTCAGGAAGTTGTGCACACAGAGTGCAGCTAGTGTAACTGTTGTCACTTTCTCAGGCTCCAGTGCAATGTTGGAAAGGAAAACACGGAGTCTATTGGCCAAAATTCCAAATGCGTTTTCAACTGTACGCCTTGCCCTTGATAGCCTGTAGTTAAATATTCGCTGCCCATGGTCCAGATTTCGGAAGGGGTATGGCTTCATCAGGTCGATTCGAAGAGGGAAAGCTTCATCACCAATAAATGCATAGGGCAAAGATATGTTACTCCCTGGTAGTGGCTCTGGGGTGGGACATTCAGCAGATCTCTGTCCATGGCAGCTCGGAGGTCTGACTGGCCAAATATTCCTCCATCTGACACTCTTCCTTGTACGCCAACATTTGCGTAAATAAATCTGTAATCTGCGTCGACTACTGCCATGAGTACAACAGAAAATCTGGACTTGTAATTGTGGTAAGTACTTCCAGAGTTAGCAGGTGGCTGGATGTAGATGTGCTTTCCATCTATGGCTCCTAAGCAATTAGGAAATTGCCATTTGTTTTCAAATCCCATTGCCACCTCTCTCCACTCTGCCTCCGTTGTGGGAGTCTGAGAAAAAAAAAGAAACACCATATATAATTAATACATGTAATGTTCTCTCATTTTTACAGAGGTTATACCTTTTTTTAAAGAATTTTTTTCCTAAAGTCCACTAATTATAATTTAGAAAATGATTCATTATCTACTCTGGTTTTGACTCTCTGGGTAAAACACTTGGTTTTGGGACTTCTCCAGTAAAGGCTTCTCTTTATGTGTCCACCCACTGTTGTGAAATGTACATCTGTTATTTACATCAAATTACTTACCTTTAAATGATCATCCTTTAAGACTTCATACAAGGCTTGACAAGTCTCCATTACTATCTCACTGATGGTACTACGGCCGATCCGGTACTGGAAGCTCAGAGATCTAAACGTCTCTCCTGTGGAAAGGAGCATGTGTATAAGGTGTATAATACATCATGGCCTGATTTTACAGAAATGGCTAATTAAGCAAAGATTAGGCATTAAATTAATTAGGTCATTTGAGTAGCTTTTATAAACTTGCCTTAAAAACATTACTGGTGTGCATCTTGAGACAAAACAATGTCACTGATATATTTTAAGTGCATAGGCTATTCTGCCCTACAAAGGCAAAGTGCAGTAACTACGCAAACAAAGAAACGGAGAAAAAGGCCTTTAAAGTTTTTATACCAGCCAGTCAAACATGTTATGGGTAGATTATGTGGTAATGCATCTCCGAAACGGGACATAATTTAAACCAGATATTTTTTCACAAGACAGAACACGTCATAAAGCCCATTAAGCCCGGCTTAACTCATTTTTGACCAAATATGTAGTTACTGCGCTTTGCCTTTGTAGGGCAGTATTCCTTTCATTTTAAACAGCTCAAACTTGCATTTTGTCTGGGACTAGCTTACATTTTGTCTGTGAAACCAAGGTCATATGATTTTTTTTTAAATTTACTTTTTACCGGTAGCAAGGAATCGTAGCGTAAGTGACAGCCTCATTCTTGCACTGATTGCTCTTCTCAGTTTCGTGTCCCTTCTTTGGATAAATGGTCTGACTTTGCCAAGCAAGTAGCTGAAATCCTCCACATCCATCCTAAGCAGTTCACGAAAACCCTTCCTGTCACTGTCCTACAGTGTAAATAGAAAACAAAAAAAAAAAAAAAAAAAAAACATGGTGTGGTTGTTTGGTTTACAAAGACAACAAATAATCACCTCCAATTAAAATGTATGTGATTTTCACAATACATATAATTTCAAAGCAGCTTTACGATGATGTTAGTGTTTTTAATAATTTAATAGCTTTGATTAGAGATGGTCGATAGCATAGTTTACATTTGTATACTAGTATAGTTTACAACACAAAATATTTTTAGTGAGAGTAAAAAAAAAAAAACCTCCTTCTCTTTAATGTTTAATGTCTTTAAATATTTATTTGTGTACAGTTGGTGACTTTAAAGACATTAAGGGAAGGAGGGTTTTTTTTCACTCTCAATAATAATATTTTTGCGTATAATGGTATTGCAATTTTTATAATTGAGATTAAGCCTATAGATTATGGTGTTATGAATCAATCAAAGGCATTAAACCATTGAACTGAAACTTTATGTTAAAGGCTAAATTACCCCATGTGACTGCATAACGAAAAACGTTTACTTCTGAACATTAGAAGTATTTAATTACATTGGTGAACAATTAAATTTAAATTTTAACAGTCTGTTTTTGTAATATGTTATCGTTGTGGCAAACTAGCAACATTATTACTTGTACTACTGGCTAAAAGTAAAAATATATAAGAAAACAATATGTTTTACCTCAAGTTCTCTTTGAAGGATTGACAGCCCATACTGTTCTCTTACAGCTATCCAGGAACGTGTCCATTGTCGGGTTTTCTTTCTTTTTTTTACGTTTTTCTGCACACAGGACAGCCAATACAACACTCGCCGCTTCATCCATTGTTTGTTTACGTTCGTTTCCGGAAGTCACTCGCTAGTAGTTTCGCCTTCTCGATGACATCACGCGCGTCGTTAAAGACGGCACACGATGACTGGTCAGGAAGCAACGTGTAGTCTGACATGTTTCTTGTCCACGACAAGACAAGATTTTAAGAGTCAAAATCGCGTAATCTGACACAGTGACTATCGTAACAGACAAAAAAAATCGTGTAATCTGAACCAGGCATTAGATGAAATCACCTGAAGAGAAGACATTAAATCTGAAGATCTCAGCAGAGGAGGATTAAACAACTCCACAAACAGCATTACCAGCTTCACTTATTACTAACCAGACTGACTTTATTTCTGTCAGACTTCTACAGAAGATTTTATTGAGAATTAACAGAGATTTAACTCTGTGTTTCATTTGAAGTCACCATAACAGTGATTAATGTGTTTCCATTAGCCAGATTCTTTACTCTTATAATATATTTGATCTCTTTTGACTCCTGTGACAGTGTGTTTGTCAAACACATTTACAGTAGCAAAGTTGAACAGGATCAGGTGATGAAGATTACCTGGTGATGGTTTTATAATCATCATGAAAAAAGTCTGATTCACTGTGGTATTTGAATATAATAATTATTCTGACAAATTATTTTCAAAAAACAACATCTGTAACTAGGGCTGGGCAGTGTATCGCACGATATTATTATGTGCGTCTAATCAGTAAAGCCGGTTCATTGATTAGTAGTAAATCACCTTCACCTGCTTTCAGATGGACGATATGAGTGTTAAATTAACACTCAAGAGTGTTAAAGTTAATGAGATAATTAAATGATTAATTTAGTGATGATTGAGCATTACTGAAGACACCTGATGATCACAAGCAGAATCACTGAAGGAGAAAATCACGAATTGTAAGTCACCGTTATGGAGATCAGTGTCTGCTTTAGTTGGGCTCTTGACACTTTTACTTTCACTTTAAACTTTGTTTGTCTGCTGTTATTGATTTATAACAGTCAAATGAATAAAGACAACTGAGATCTGAGAGTGTAAGTTGTGTTTTGGCATAATCATGCTGTGATCTGTAAAATGAAACTTTTCATATAATTTAGTTTAACTTGTTCGCAACATTTTAGTGGTAATATTTTTCTGCTATACCAAAATATTTAATATAAATTATTCTGATCAAATCACTTTCTAATGCTTTTATTCAGAAACACAGACATCAATAATCAGCCTGTGAATCTCAACCATGGTGACCATATAATCCTTGTTGCCACCAATCACAACTCATTAATGGCTCCCATCATGCATTGCGGTATGAATAAATTATGATCTGAATTGTCTATGTAATTTACTTTTCCTAATTGAATATTCTGCTCGTCGCCGTTGTTGAGAAGCATTGACTGAATCTTAAGGTCTGTGTGTTCCTTCAATAAAGATTTTTATTTTTTTTTTACAACCTTTAAGAAATCCTTTACATTATAAATTCTGGATATTTATGCAGAATCTCAGTTATGCTGTAACCAACAAAATAAATCACAAATACTCATTCAAATGACAATTGTCACAATATGACCAAAACTATTAGTTTGTATATTTTTTCTTTGTTCATCTGTTTTAACTCAGATACAACAGCCGAACAAAATCTAAAATTAATGTAAGGCTCAAGAGCCCAACTAAAGACTGATCTCTGATCTCTACACTGATCTCTATAATGGTGACCAATTACGATTTTCTCCTTCATAGATTCTGATGTTATGGTGACTTCAAATGAAACACAGAGTTAAACCTCTGTTAATTCTCAATAAAATCTTCTGTAGAAGTCTGACAGAAATAAAGTCAGTCTGGTTAGTAATAAGTGAAGCTGGTAATGCTGTTTGTGGAGTTGTTTAATCCTCCTCTGCTGAGATCTTCAGATTTAATGTCTTCTCTTCAGGTGATTTCATCTAAGACTGTCGTCTCTTTTTCTGTTCTCTTCAGAGGAGTAAAGTCCAGGTTCAGAAAGTAAAAGTCCGCCTTAGTATTTTGTTTCAATCACCTGGATTTGCTTATTAGCAGTTTTTCAGTCAGGAGACAGAAATCAGCTGAAATCAAATGTCAATCCGTTCATGGCTGGAAGTAAGACATGGCAGGATTTCTACTTTTTTTCTACTTCTACTTGCACGGTTCCCGACGATAACTGTCTCATGTGTATTATCCACTGTAAGCCTCTCTGAGCATGTGTCTTCCCTTGGCAAGCCATCTGCCACCCCTGGAGTTAAATTCTAGTAACCACCTGCGGTTGGTGCTCCAGTTGTTCTCCATATGTGTCCTATACGGCCATATGTGTATTTGTAAGTCCTCCTTCGGTAGGCATCTGGTAGCATGTCCCTCCCGGGATATGTTTCCCAGTGTACCTTGGTAATCCTGTGTCAAAGTAGGATCCCGGTAAAAAAAAAAAAAAAAAGAGGTAAGGTTCAGGGGTCCAGACTTTCGCAGGGCACTGGAAGACAGCTTGAAGTTGGCGTGATGGCACAGACCCCCAATCTCCGTCACTTCTGACGTAACTCGAAGTGACTACGAAAGGGAACGTCTCGGTTACGGATGTAACCCTCGTTCCCTGAGTAGGGAACGGAGACGTTACGTCTCCCTGCCACTTCTGCTGTACCGCTGGGTAGACGCCTAGTTCAGTCTTGGCTCCTCAGCGAAGACATACTGCGGTTGCGTTCACTTCCTCCTTTTATACTCACGGAGTAGGGCGGAGTATGCTATGCAAATTTCCGCAGCCCCAAGGCATTGCATGCCATTGGCTCGTTGTTAAATACTCGAAGAGGATTGGCTTTCATGCGAAACCCCCATTCTCCGTCACTTCTGACGTAACGTCTCCGTTCCCTACTCAGGGAACGAGGGTTACATCCGTAACCGAGACGTTTTGCTATAATAAAGGTATAAGGGAGCATCTATACTTAAACTAAAACGAGTTTTTATCACTTTCTTAATTATGGGATCCAAACTGCACTTATAGTTATCCCTTCTAAAAATAATAATAAAAAATTAAAGCTGCAAGCAGCATTTAGCGGGGTTCAAGCAGTTTAGGCCTTTAAGGCCTTTAAGCACAAAAGCATCAAAAGACATTAAGTTTTATGTAGAAAGCATGATTTACCATGATATACCATATTTAGAGTCAAGTATATCTCCATCTTTGTTCAAAGTAAAAAAAATGATCATACTTTATGATGCTAGATTAAATTTAAAAAGAAAAAAAAATTAAAAGGAAATTTCTTTGGCATTTCTTTCTTTTTGTTGTATCTAAAATGAACTGAACCATGACACCAATGTATCGCACACAAAATTGTATACACTGAACTGTGAATTTTGTGGACTGTTGCACCCTACCGTTTCTTTTGGGATGATTCAACAATGATTCAATTTCCACAATTTGTGAAGAAAAATAAAAACGTTCAAACCCAATACTGGAATACAAATGGATTCTGATTCTGAATCCAATACAAATGGAATCCAATATTGGATTTGACTCAAAACACAATGCTTCACAATTCCTCCCAATAATCCGCCTTGACTTTCAGTAGTAGATGGAAAATATTGGAAATGGAAAACACCATTTACAGCCAATACAGGCAATTTACCATTGGAAATGCATGGTTTTAAAACTTTTTAACAGTTATAGCGCCACCTATGGTTCGATCTCCATGAAACTGTGCATGCTTCTTCAGCATGTTATGTCACATACGCTCATCAATTTTTGTGAAGTTCTGAGTTTTTATTTATTATTTATAGACTTTTGATTGAGTGCATAAAGACAAAAAAATATAAGAATAAGAATGTAGCCTACTGACGAAAGATTGTGTCTGCTTTGTTTTATAAGAAATATTTCTGTGTCAAGAATTCCAAATTTCCTGTACTCTCAAATTTTGTATAGTAGTGCTACTCATGTTTTAACACCAGGCATGCATAAAAGGGATGTTTCCTGTTTCAAAATCCACTACAAAACATTGGACTGTAATGTATAGAAGAATGAAACTATGGAAGGATTTACCATTGATATTACACATTTTCTAATTAGGAAAATTACTTTAATGGTGAAACTATTTTAAAGGTGCCATCTGTCAAAAAAAATCAAATCATACTCCATATTCCATACCAGATGGGCGCAGTATACCTCCAGAAAGTGAGTTGTGTAGCGGCCGCGCTCATGTGCACTCTCACGTCTTCAAACAACACAGGTGAGCGCTGTTTTGCTCCCTCTACCTAGTGCATATTAATCAAATCATTTGACATGATAGTAAAAGGTTGGAAGGCCGCAGTTTCACGTGTAGCATTTGGAGATTTTTAGAGATTAGAGACTCAATGAACAACATCTCAGCACTAAATTATAAAGTCCGTCTCATAGACGCCTGTATCAAATACAAGCCGGTGCATTCCGACGATATGGGAAAATAAAAAGCCCAGACTATTATTTGTAGTTTAATGGTATTTTTTTTTTTTTTCATATTACATTTCTATTGTTAGTTTGAATTAATTTGACAGAGAGCATTCACTGAGGTTGACCAAGCTAGCGCCATTTAGAGCTGCCAACTCTCATGAATTCTCCGCGAGACACGCAATTGACACTTTTCAGTGAAAAGTTTTCACACGCTCTCAGGCCACACATCAATTTGGTCATGCACAGAAAAGGACACGGAGAATGACAGACAAGATGGAGCAGGTTAGTTATGATATATAAAAAATCTCAGCTCTCAGATTTTGTTAATTTTATTACGCAATTCAAACAATAAATACACTTTTGGTGCTTGTAAATGTTACACGACAGAGTGCACGTGAAACGATCATCTCTACTAGCTAATGGTAAAAGAACTCGAAAACTGTTGAAAGAAACAGTATGTTACAACTTACCAGAATGTATT